GTTACATATGGAGAATTATGACCACTGGAAAAAAATCTGACTTTTTCTCAAAATATTGATTTTATTCTCAGAATTCTGACTTTAATTTAAAAATTTAGTCTTCTGAGAAAATAATCCAAAATCTGAAAAAAGTCAAAATGCTTTTATTTTTTTCAGTGGCCTAATCCTCTTCCTTAGCTTTTGCATTTTACGTATTAAAATATTTTAATGCCGAATTGAATCATTTAATTTTTTATTTATTTGCATCTTTTAGTGTATTGTTAATAATGCATTAAAAATATTGAAGTTGTTAAATGAATACTCTGAAATTTTTAATCTGATTAACTGTCAGAATAATCGATTAAAGAATCATTAGATTAATGCGATACCTGTGATTGTGTTTCTGAGCTGTCGTCGTGTCTTGGGGGCCGTTGTGTCTTCTTTAAAACAGGAAAACCTGCTCCAATCCCTGAATTCAAACATAAATACATAAATAATAATAATAAAAAAATGTTGAAAACAGGGACTGATGTGCTGCAGAGAATCAAACCTACCAGGCAGTTTGATCCCGAGCCCCAAGCCGCCTAGAGGCAAACCCACAGGAACTTTACCAGGCACCGGCAGCGACGGAGTTGGATCCACAGACGGCTTATGGATTAAGGAGCGGGGGTCCGTCGGGGGCCTAACACGAGGGTTTTTCACCGCAATGCGAGACTTTTGCACTGCAAAATCAAGCAAGGCGGCATCAACCTGCAAATAAAAAAATCATCTCATTCTATGGCTTATCTGCACACTGCAAGAAATCAGAAACTTACCAAATATTTTTAGTCTGTGTTCTAGTGCAAACACCTAAGCACACTTGAATTAAGACAATAATTGCTCAATATATATGAAAATGTTCTTGTTCCACTGGCAGATTATTCCACTCATAACAAGACATTTTTCCCATGTGTTAATTGAAATAACACCTGGATGAAACTAGAACATTTTCATCCATGTTAAGGGATTATTAGCTAAAAACAAGCTCCTGTATCTTGCTGAAAAGTTTTATCTTAATTCAAATGTACGAAGGTATTTCCACCAGAAAATAGACCAAAACTACTTGGTAAGATTCAGTGTTTTTGCAGAGAACTTCAGAGAACTGATATTGCTTTGGTTTGTCTGAAACAATACCTCGGTCCAATCTTCTTCCAGCTCAGTCCCGCTTGGGGCTGGAAATGATTCGCTGAGATCTTCTGAAGGTTTTTCCTCTGGTGCAACCAGGGAGAAATTTCTCTTCTCAGGTCCAGAAGGCGATTCAGTCAAAACACTTTCCTCCTCTGACAGAGGAGAGATCTGGGCTTCACTGGAGATGTCGGACTCTGTTGCTTCTGTCAGCGACGTAACATCTGCTTCTTCATTGTCTCCACTCACTGCGTCTGTCTCTGGTTTAGTTTCATCCTGCTTCTCTTCAGGTCTGCCTCCTTCCTGATTCGGATGTTTTGGTTCTGGTGATGAAACTCCTGAATCAGGGCAGGATCCGATCTCACCGGATGCTCCCTCTGCTATCGGGTAAGGCTGAGGAGTTTCAACCATTTCTTCGATCAATGCAGATTCAGAGCTAGATGTAGGAACTACACAGATGTCTTCTGAATTGTCATTTTTGTTGGGAAGTAATCCGGTGTCTCCTGATTTAATTATCTGAATCTCACTGAAAGTCTGGTCCAAAAACCCAGAGTCCAGTGTGGTCAAGGAAGTTTCTGTGTCTTCTGAAATTGCCTCCATCACTCCCTCTTTCTTCTCCTCTGATGATGTTTCGCCTGGTTCCTCTGTAAATTGGTCTTCTTTAATCCCACCAGTGTCCTTTGACATCGCTGTCTCGATCCACAAATCAAGGATTTCTTCATCAATCCCATCCTGATGTTCTTCAGCCGGATTTTCTGAGTGTTTCTCCGTTTCTTGTGGCTCATTTGCAATTTCACCAAGGATCGTCTCAGATTCATCAGCTGTTTCTGCGTCTGTTGTTATCTGACGCTGCAATAAGGCTGATTGTCCTGTGATCAGATCAGATGCTGTCCCCACTAACTGAAGAGTCATGATCTCATTTAAATTCAGGACTTCGTGCTCCGGCTGACCTTTGTCTTGTTCTTCAGTGTCAAACCTCACCAACGGAAGTTCAGTGGCACTTTCATCAAATAATTTAGGCTCAGTCTCATGGTCATCCTCCAATCTAAAAGCTTGTACAAGTTCTGGACCAAGACCTATCTGTGTCATCTTCCCTTCTTCACTCTTGGGGGATTCAGGAGTTTCATCTGCAGAATCAACTCCTTCATCAGCTGCTACAGCGTCTCTTTTCTCACAGACATCTTGGGGCAGCCTGTTTGTTTCCCGTTCAGCCGTTTCGTCCTCATCCTCCAGTTCAGGCTCAAATTCCTCATCTGATTGTTTGATCTCTGTCTTCATTGAAGTATCCAGTAACTCGACCTTTTCTTCCTCAGAAAAATGATCTAATTCCAGATTTACGTTGTCGCTTTTTGGCTTCTCTGTATCTTCTGCAAATTGAAGCGTTCCAACCTGCAACTCCTTCTTGCTTTCCTCTGTGCTGCCTTCTCTTATCAGTAAATATTCACCTCCTCCTGCTTTGCTGCTTTTAAAGACCTCCACCTCTTCTGGTAAGTGAATGGTCTGAATTTCCTCTGAATTTCCCCCCTCGAAGAACCTTTGTGTGGTATTTTCATCTGACTCAAGTTCATTGTTGTGCTCAGGAACTGCCTCTGGAGTTTCCTCGCACGCCTTGGTGTTGAGCTCGTGAGACAGGCCAGTCTGGCCTTCAATTACCCCCGAGGGAACGTCGCTAAAGCCAATGTTTATTTCCCGTTCAGACTCGCCTTCAGCTTTTACAGTAAGTGGGGCGGTTGTGCAAACTCTTTTCATGCAGATCTCTTTGTCGGAAAGCCTCTCCTCAACATCTGATGAAATTTCTTCCAAAGTCATTTCTTTCTCTGTGTGCATACTGGTGACATCGTCCTCTTTAAATGTAAAATCAGTTTTTTCCTCTTCGATTCTTCTTCTGCTCTTGTCCTCTTCCAACTCCTCATCTGTTGTCTGATTCAGATCTTTGGTCATCTGGACACTGATGTCAGTTAGCTCATCTTTGCAGACAGGGAGAAGAGTTTCTACTTTAGTTTTCTCATCTGAGAAGTTCAGCTGTGATGCATCTTCACTGAGGTTTGCATTTTCCAGCATTGCTGCAGAAGCTTTATTGTCCCTTTCTTCTGTCTTTTCATTGCCGCCCTCTTCCTCCTTTGTTGGGGTGCTTTCTTGCATCTTGCTTTCTTCCTCAGAGTCTTCTTCAGCTCCTTCTTCATCATCTTCTGCAATGTCCGCCAAGGTTTCTGACACTTTCCAACGATCATCCAGTCTCACATACTCCTCTTCTTCACTTGATTCAATCCCGTCTCTCACTCCCTCTTTTACCTGTACATGTCCAGACCCAACAGTTGCTTCCTCTTCATCGTTTCCAGGTGCCTCACTCTTTTCCTCAAAGTCTTTTTCACTTTCCTCTCCATCATCTTCCTGGATTTCACTGCTCTCTTCCTGCATGTCTTCTTTGGCTTCATCATCAGATTGGTCGCTGTCTGTTTGGTCGAACTGCTCCTCTCCTGTGTCTTCATCAGCCTCGCTGCTTGTGGCACTTTGAGTTAAAATATTTTCTTCTTGTCTGACATCTTCTCTGCTACTCTTATCCTGCTCTTCCTCTTCACATGTGACAGACTCTTCGTCCTCAACCCCCTCATCCTCAACCACACCAGACAACTCTTTGCAAACAAGGTGTTGAGTTTCCACTTGTTCTGTTCTCTCTGCTGAGTTTTCATTTTCAGATTTCAGCTGCGATGCATCTTCACAGACGTTAGCATCTCTTAGCATTACTGCGCCAGCCTCATCTTCTTTTTGCTCTTCTCTCTCTTCTTTCACGATGTGTTGTTCTACCTCAAAGTCTTCATCTTGATTGACTTCCTCTATTTCACCTCTCTCTTCCTGAAAGTCTTCTTTGTTTTCAACTCTTTCTATTTCTTCACAAGTGTCCAACTTTTGGATCTCAGTTTTCTCTAATCCAAGTTGGTGTGTCGTCGTGTCTTCAGTGATCAGCTGATCTGCAGAGTCGTTTCCTGTTTGGCTAAACTGCTCCTCTTCTGTCCTCTGATCATTCTCGCTGCTTGTGACACTTTGGGTGGAAATATTTTCCTCTTCATTTGTCCTTCTGCTCTTATCTTGTTCTGACTCTTCTGTTGTCTGTTGGTTTGCAGCTGTATTCAGATCTTTTTCAAAAACAGTCATCTGGGCGTTCTCAAACTCTTTGCAGACAGGAAGAAGAGTTCCTACATCGTTAGTTTTCTCAAAAGGTAACTGTGATGCATTTTCACAGATGTTAGTAACTCCTAGCATCGCTGCGGCAGCCTCACCCTCCTTTTGTTCTCCTGTCTCTCCATCAGTGGTAAACTGTTCTGTCTCACTTTCTTCCTCAAACTCTTCTTCATTTTTTTCTCTATCATCCGCCTGGATTTCATTGCTCTCTTCCTCCAACTCTTCTTTAACTTCATCCACTTTTTGGACGTCATCTTCTCTCTTTCTGCTCACAGACTCTTCCCCAACAACTTCTCCATCACCTCTTTTTTCCAGCTCTTCATCATTTGCCTCATTGGCTGTATTTTCTTCTTTCTTTTCAATCACTTCTGTTTCTGCAGAAGTGTGCAACTTTTTCTCTAGTCCAAGTTGATGTTCAGTCATGTTTTCATTTATCAGCTGTCCTGCAGAGTCATTTCCTTTTAGACTAAACTGTTCTTCATCATCCTCGCTGCGTGTGACACTTTGGATTAAAACATTTTCCTCATGTTGGACATCTTGAACTGCTCTGCTACTCTTCCTCTTCTCTACCTCTTCATGTGTTGCAGACTCTTCCTCCTCAATCCTCTCACCCTCTGCCACACCTGACAACTCTTTGCAGACAAGATGCTGAGCTTCTACTTGTTGCATTCTCTCTTCTGTGTTTTCATTTTCAGATTTCAGCTGTGATGCGTCTTCACAGATGTTAGCATCTCCTAGCATCTCTGCCGCAGCCTCACATTCCCTCTGATTTCTGCTCTCTTCCTTTGCAGTGTGTTGTTTTACCTCACTTTCTTCTTTCAAGTCTTCTTCATTTTCTTCTTGTATTTCATCTCTCTCTTCCTCCAGGTCTTCTTTGTTTACAACCTCATCTCTTTCTGCAGAAGTGTGCAACTTTTTCTCCAATCCAAGTTGATGTTCAGTCATGTTTTCATTGATCAGTGCCTCTGCAGAGTCATTTCCTTTTAGATCCTGTTCGTCCTCGCTGCTTGTGACACTTTGGGCTAAAATATTTTCCTCTTCGTCTGCTCTGCTACTCTTCCTCTCCTCTGACTCTTCATGTGTTGTAGACTTATGATCCTCTTCCTCCTCAACCCTCTCATCTTCTGCCACACCTGACAATTCCTGGCAGACAAGAGTTTTCACTTGTTGCGTTTGCTCTGCTGAGTTTTCATTTTCAGCTGAGAGATTCTTGCCTTCTGCCATCTCATAATCAAGATCTGCTGATAATTCTTCCACGGTCACATCTTCTTCTGCAGTTTGCATAATGGTGACCAGCACATCCTCTTCTGTAATTGTAAACTCGGTCAAGTCTGGTTCTGTTTTTTGCACATCTTTGCTGCCACTTTGAGTTAAAATATCTTCGGCCATCCGTCCGCTCTTGTCCTGTTCTGACTTTTGTGCCGTTGCAGCGTCTTCAACGACTCTCATCTGGACGTTGTCATCTTCTGATAACTGTCTAAGCTGAGTTTCTACGTCTTTAGTTTTCTCATCTGAGAGGTTTTCATTACCAGAACCCAGCTGTGATGCATCTTCACTGATGTTTGCATCTCCTAGGGTCGCTGCAGAAGCTTTGTTGACCTTTTGATCTCCTATCTTTTCATTGCTTTCCTCCCCTGAGTTTTCTTCAGCTTCTTCCTCAATGTCTGCCAAGGTTTCCATCACTTTTTGATGATCACCCGGTCTTGCTTCTCTTGAATCCAAGGGAGTGATGTCTTCAATCTCTCCCTCCTTTACCCATACATGTCCAGATCCACTAGTTGCACGCTGTCCATCGTTTTCAGGACCCAGACTTTCCTCACAAGTGTCACATTTCTCGATCTCAGTTTTCTCTTGACTGCCTTGATGTGCCTTTGCACTTCCTGTGACCAGCAGCCCTGCAAAGTCATTTCCTGTTTGAGAACGTTGTTCCTCTATTAGGTCCTCTTTGTTCTCATGATCTTCTTCTTTGGGCTTCAAGTCGATGTCTGCAGCGCAGCGCTCCCATGCAACAACTGGCGAAGACAAACTAACAAGGGAAACAGTCGAAAGAGACGGTTCCTCGCCGACTTCAACCCCTCTGGCATCGTCATCTTTTTGGCTACCGTCAGCAGGCTCGCCGTCGACTCCAGGTTCATCTGAGGATGTTGGGTTATTATTGGTGGCTTCAACTGCTTGTGGCCTCAGGAATCTGCTCACAGCTTCACTTATGTAACACTGGGGAAGAGATGGGAAAGTGTTATTCATCTTAATGAGTGTGCTGTGCACAATCTGACGCAGAAGAGAGAGAGACATAAGAAGGCACTTAGTTCCACTTGTACACTAACAGTGCAATAGGCTTTTTACACAATAGAGTCCTTGCCACTTTGCAGGCTGATTGTTAAAGGCCCTTTCCTGTTTTAGAACAACAATGGTTCATTAGAGAGTCTGAAAGAAGTGGCCTTCGCTGATTACCGATTAAATAACAGATCTCACTTATGTAATATTAAAGGTGTGCTGTTAAAATACGTGCATATTCCTGATATGTGCAAAACATGACAACGTTTCACAGTACTGTGAAAAAGTCATTTCCTATGTCCTTATGATCTGCTCGCAAACAAACAGGTATTTTTATAATCTCCTACTTTCTAAAGATGTTTCAAAGAAATGTTGTCTGTTAAGCCACTTTGCTCTAAACCTAAGGATCATTTATGCATCATAAGGCTCTTAGGGTGATTTCACACCTGATAGTCTGGCAGACTTGGTTTGATTCAGGTCCAAAACTGCATTGTCCATTTGTGAATACAGTTATGAAAAACACAAATAGTTAATATAAAGCTATTTATGTTAATAGCTAAAAGAGAAATGCAGCAAACTGCAGGTACTCAGGCAGACAACCAGGCTTCATAACAACTCAGAGAAGAGCTTTACCATTCTTTACTATAAACAACAATAAATGTCCTAATTAACATATTTATTGTTGTAATCATAAATATAGTAGATAACTTCAGAAGCAAGACAAATAATTTCTGCATTTCAGTTGAAAACAAAACTGACTGGATTATTTTTATGCCTTTTTGTTTAAAACCTTTTGCATAAATACCACTAAATAGTGGTAAATTTTATTCAAAGTTAGCAAACTGTCAGTCATATTGTAGTGTAAGACATCTGCCTATGATAACTCAGTTTAATTGGTAATAAAATGGCATTTTAGCAAAAAGAACTAGCAGCTAAAACCTGACAGTGAACATAAGAAGGTTTTACAAAAGAGATATTTAAATATCTGAGGTCTTGTGTTCAGTGGCGCCACCAAGTGGGGTCGAGGTGCAATTACCATGGCTGTAAATTTGATGCCCCACCTCCAATCAGAGAGTCTGCATCCTGTTTATGAGCATAATTCAGAAGAAAAGAAGGCGAGTGCATGACGTTCAGAAATATTTTAAGACCTATTAGTATCTTTTTCTGTCCTTCATCAACCCACTCTGTTCTGTTTCCAGACAGCCTCTGCAAAGTCATGATCAGAAATCAGGAGTGGGCTGAAATATTTTAGACACGACCCTGATGCACACCTTGAGTTTTCAGCCATTTCATCCTAACATGCTTCATTAAGTCAGTTAATTGACTTTAGAAACAAATATATTCACATAAATGTATGTATTTATATGAATTATGAGCTGATAGTGAGTCCAGAGTTAAACCTAAGAAACAATATATTGTCTTGCTTTTCTTCTCTTTTCTTTCTGACTGTATCAAGAGTTTTGTGTTGTGTATGGGAGCAAATTCCTGCCATGTGTTGAAAAAAAAGAGAAGAATTTGGACCTCTTATAAGACATACATTTATTTAGAATTGGATAAGTCAATATCATGAGGAAGTTTGTAAAAACTGCAGGATATGAGATTATTAAGTATGGATGTGACAAAAACCACGACTATTGAAACTCCATGGACTGACTCAAAACATACTGTTGCTAAAGTAGCTGATTATTATGAGTCCTGGATATAAAGGAGAAGGATTTTAGATTGAAGAAATCTAAAATTTTTTCAATCTAAAAGTCTCTATGTTTGAGTCTTATGTTGAAGTGAGAAAGGAAGTACTTCTTGTATTGCTGCCTTGTTTGGACACATTTTTGACTTTAGATCCTACAGAACAGGTTAACCCTTATCAGACATTCATAAGAATATAATTTTATTAAACTTAAGCTGTATCTTTTCATTAGAATGAATTACAAGATATTATCTCAGCTGAAATAATTAAGTGATTATCATGAGACATCAAATTATACACTTTTTCCCCATCCTGGTGGCAGAAATGGGCTTCCATAAATTGTATCCCACCATACTTTATTGCCAAAGGCAGCATTATTTAAAGCTGCACTATGTAACTTTTATTCCAAAAACAGTTTTTACATATTTGTTAATATTAGACAGATAATCTGTGAAAAGATCGAATTTCCTCCATGAGCTGCTACCAATGGAAGAAATGCACCGCTCCCGTTCAAAAACAACCAATCAGAGACAGGAAGGGGGGCTTAGTGTTCCCCCTGCTAAATGTGCTAATGACAGAGAAACAACTGACCTATACAGAAAAACCGTTTATCCTCCGTCATCAGTGGCTATGCTAACTAGCCTGACCATTCACAATATGCTATGCTAGCTGTGCTAAGCCCCGCCTCCTGGCTCTGATTGGTTGTTTATAGTTAACATAAGCGTAACATACTGTCACGACATAGTGACATTTTCAATAAATATGGAAATATATAAATATACATGTATATTTTATCATAATGTTTAAACTGAGCCGATGTGTTTAAGCAGAGCAAATAATTTTAATAAATAGTAAACAAATAAAGAAGATAAAAGAAAAAAGCGGAGAAACGTGACCGATGTAAGTTAAAGACCAAATATAGATCAATAGAGGAGGGAGGAGCAGAAGGACATGTATGTGTGTAATGTGTGTGTGAGAAACATCTAAACAGAAAGACACTATTAAAACATTAATGCTCATGTCGCAACTTTAAACTTTACCATCAAATCTCTGTAAAGTTAACCTGATATCTGCTCACCCAGACTGAGATCAGCGTCCTCTCCACCCGCTGAAACGGACCGTCGGGGTCCGGCTCCATCTTTGCGCCTCCTTCCTTGTTTAACTCTTGACCATTTGAAGCAGAGAAACAGAAAAGCGCATGAGTTTATCCAGATGCTTCATCAGAAAGCTGCTTCCAGACGCTCCTGCGTCCTGCAGGTGGACTTCTCTCTCCTGGCGTTTGTCCGGCGCTGTGACCAGGAAGAGGCTGATCCCAGCTGAGCGCCGCGTCGAGCCGATGCGCTGCAGTTTGCGGATGTAAACAGCGCTACTTTTGACACATCAGACCACTAAAATGCATGTGATGAGTTGCTGAGCTGCAGTGAGAAATGCAATTCTAAAATAACTTTGAGTAGGCCGAGTCATGACGGGGAAAACTTCACCAGTGCATGAATTGATCTGCACTTTTCCCCCCAGCGATGCATGCTTATTATTTATTTTTAATTGTTGCACGCTTAGGCTCAATAAAGCAGCACGGGAAGACGTTTGTAGAAGTTAGGAATTGGAGAAGTTCCTCAAGGTGATAAAATTAGACTGCACAGGGTTTATCAGCGGCAGTTTGACCTACAGCACATTTCATCTGCTTCTACTTCTGTTTCTGTCACTACATGAAGAGAAGTGACAGAAACAGAAGTTAAAAATCTTATTTCACACAGAGCCGTGAAAAGGTCGTTGCCCCCTTACAGATTTCTGCTGTTTTGGCTTTATTGTTGCTGCTTAAAGTTTCAGATCTGGAGAAAATGTCAGTATTAGACAAAAACTAAAAAACAAACAAACAAACAAACAAACAAACAAAACAAACAAACAAACAACCTGAGTAAATTTAAAATTAAGTTTTCAAATTATACACTGCAAAAAACACAACTCTGGCCGATAACTTAACATATACTGGGGAAAATGTTTTGCTATAAGTGAAATAATCTGTCAATTTCATCAATATTAAGGAATTATTGCCTTGAAACAAGCTCCTGTCTTGCTAAAAACTTACTTGGAAGTTAGTATTGTTTTATTTTAGGTCTATTAAGATGTTTACACTAGAAACTAAACCAAGAATACTTGGTTAGATTTGTGCTTTTTGCAGTGTAATCTCATTTGTGAAGTGAAAAGTTATCCTAACCAACCTGGCAGTGACATCTATGTGGCATAAGACTGATAATCTGAAAAAAATCAAGCTCCTCTGTTTTCTCCCAGTGCTAACTAGAAACAACCAATCAGAGCCTGGAGGCGGGTCTTAACGCTGTCAATCACCTTCCAGCCTGCTTATTGCTTTCTGTCACTTTCCCACTTGCTCTCTGCTACTAGCTAGCTGCTAGTAGCAGCAGCCAGTAGTAGCAAGCCCGTCATGAATGCTAGGCTAGTTAGCATGACAGCCGATAAACAGTTTTATGTAGCACATTTCGAGTAAATGAGATTGATTGACAGCACTAAAACCCTCCTCCTGGCTCTGATTGGCTGTTTTTGTTGCATTAGTAGCTTAGGGCTGAGGTGGAGGACGCTGATCTTTTCACAGATTATCTGCCTCATAAAAGTTACATACGTCAGGTTTAATGTTGGAAATATAAAATAACTTTCAAAACACAAAACTACACTGCAAAAACACAAAATCTCACTAAGTATTTTTTTTAGTTTCTAGTGCAAATATCTTAGCACACTTGAAATAAGACAAAATTAACTTAAAAATAACTTTTTCAGCAAGATATAGGAGCTTGTTTTAAGTCAATAATCCCTTAATATTGATGAAAAATATCTAGTTCCATTAACCGATTATTTCAGTCAACTGGTACTTCGCCGTTACCTAGCAACACCAACCAAACCCAGCCCGTCACCTAGCAACCCAGTTCAGGGTTTCCCTCAGGGTATTATAAGTCTGGTGGGCCACCAGGCTTTACTTGTGCCTCCACCAGGTTAAGCATCACTTTTTTTTTTAAGTCTTTTTAAAATGATTAAATTTTTTAAGGCTTTATAGTCGGTGTTCAGATATTAATCTCCAAATCTTTCAATAACATATAATTATGAAGTGATATTTTTAAAATTTCTATTAACTTCAAACATTTTTCAATTCAAAAACACAACGGGCCGCTGGGTGAATGACTGCCCTAACGCCCAACCACCGGGATTAGCAGTTCTAGTTCCACTGGCAGATTATTTAACTTGTAACATGAGAAATAATCTGCCAGTGGAACCAACAGTTTTTTGTCAATATGAACAAACATTTGACTCAAAACAAGCTCCTATATCTGGCTGAAAAGTTTCTTGTAAGTTAGTTTTGTCTCATTATTTACACTAGAAACTAAACCAAAAGCACTGTGTTTCTGCAGTTTGTGGCAAGAAGCCAAGAGAAGCTGCTCCTCCTTTCATTTGGGACACGTTGAATCTTTGGACCTTCAACTTTACCAGATCTTTACAACAAACTGAATAAAAACTAATACTGTGAATGAAACAAGAAACAGACCTGAATATTTCTGGTGGAGTAACCCACCTGGATTATAACTTGGTGTGTTTAAAGGTTTTGTTCCCACAGACTTGGAGATGTTACAGAGGAGCATTGTAAGGCAGGCATGGTGCTGAGTGGAGTCGGTGATGCTCTGGGCTTCAAGGACGGGAAATGGGAGTTCAAATTGTCAGGAGAAACAATTCACCAGGTCAGTAACGTATCTGGGTATGAACCAGAACAAAAGGCCTCTCGCAATAAGCAATGAATAAATCAATCGCTTG